ATGACATTTATAAATGTATGAATAACATGGTGAAAATATGACTTTGAAAAAACAAAACTATTTTTTCTTATTAAATGCTAAATAATCCAAAATATTGCAGTTAATTTTTGACTGTGTAACTTTAAAAATCGCACCCCACAGCTCTGTGGCGTGAATTTTTTTTGCGCAATACTTTATTAGCGTCATCTTTTCAAAATTGCTTCATATTTATTATAAAAATTAAACGACCTTCTCTTTTTCTGTTTCTTCCTTTCTTTTTAGACATATACAAACAGGTTAACAAAACTCAACATGCAGTAAATGTATTTGTTATGTGGTTCAGCGAGTTGAGTCTTTTAAGTGACTTTTACTTAATACTTTACCTTTCACTTTAAAAAGTCTTCAGTGTTTTAGCTGCTTATTTCCCCCTCATGTAGCTTTTTAAATACCTCTAACATCACAAGTGTCCTGCAGAGAGTTGTTGATCACGAGAGTTTCTGAAATCACAAATTGTCGCCACCATGTTTTTATAAAATATCTTTTCCAGCGGAGGTGAGAACAACAAATTACTTCTGATTATAACAAGATGGAGTTCAGTGTGCAGTAGGTTCCAGCAGGACACTGATGATGTCGTCTCTTGTCCAATAACTGTGTCTTATTCATGCACAGAGACTGTTCTGCATCATACTCACAGAAAGAAACACAGTTTTGTATCACAGCTCATCCTCCGATGCTCAGTAAAAGCAACAACAGAAGGAAGACAAAGTGAAACACCACAAGAGCAATTTAAATACATAGTAGTTATAAAATACATGTAGACATCTTGAAATAAGGTGTGTCAAGCGGGACATAAAAACAACAGTATTTGTTTTAACATGATAACTAGATGCACAGTAACATCAGTAACAGCTACGCCTCGTCACAGGAGCCTCACAGTGTCACGCTTCATATTTACTTTAGATAAATGACCGAGTTTACACTGAACTAAAAGCTTTTGGTCACGTCCTTGAGTTTAACTTTTTGTGTCCGTTTTAATAATGAAAACCTGCGAAGGGACAGTTCAACATTTCAGAGGTGCTGGTTTCAGGAAAATATGATGGGATCATAATATTCTGCTCCTAAACCAAATGTTTTTTAGAAAATTGTAATATTGTTTTAAATTTCAGATGCTCTTTTACTCAGAGGCTGCAACAACGAGTGAACTCGCCTGAAGATTTGTCAATGGTTTTGACACTGGATGCTCTGACGCACCCACCAATCCCCGAGCTACCACAGCACACACGTGTGGAGCAGAGGGCCGCCGTCTGAGGCATTCAGGGAACAGATGAGGGGTTAAGAGCCTTGCTCAAGGGCACAGAGTTGGGCAAATGAGGGTGGAGGGAGGTGTGCTGCATAACCTTTCTCACGCAAGTTTTGATGTAATGGTCAGGGGATTTGAATCAGCAACCCCTTGATCAGAAGCTCACCTTCTCTGGCCTCTGTGCCACCTCCCCCAGATGTGTGTGTGTGTGTGTGTGTGTGTGTGTGTGTGTGTGTGTGTGTGT